CTGGAATAAAAATACAAAGTGTGGCAGCATTGCGTTGCATGAGTTTCATTCATAATCGTGTCTAAATCAATAGTTATTACCTCAAGTTGACCATCAGTTGGGTTATGAATCATATGCAATCGTCCAAGAATTGGGTAAAAATGATGCATGCACTGCAATAGCTCAAAAATTGGGTAGAGTTTGGACCACATGACAAAAAACTTCCAACCAACAAGGATCACAGACACGGCGCGCCGATCGGAAATGGACGCTTTGCTCGAAGAATGGGGCCTTGAATCGTTGAAAGAAACGTTTAATGGTGAGAACTAAGTTTATAATTATATCTTTCCCAAGTAATTAACCTTTTTTAGTATGCTTATTTGATTATTGTGCCTAATGTGCCCTCCAATATACCTCCCCTATCTACGGCTGGCATAGGCCGGATGCACATGTGAGGCAGGTAGGCCAGGCCTATTTCTCCTCACAGGCCCTGCAAGCTGGGGCAGGTCTAGCGCATAGGCCAAGCACCCTGGCCTAGGTTTTATGTCAAAATAGGCCTATGATATTATAAATAAGAGAAAAAAGGCTTCAAAATATTCCATTATCCACATTTAATAGTTTACAATATGATGCTTCAAACAAAAATGTGAGGTCTCGCCACAAAATGAGTCTCATGGTTGGAAATTCAAAAATTGAGTTTATATATAATTGGCTAGATCACATTATAAGCTTCCATTTAGTCTTGAAATGGGTTCTATTTTCTCTATGCTATAAGTAAATCAAGAGATGCGAGTTTAAAGTTTAGGTGTATAAGAACCACATTTTGAGAAAATCGACCTAAAATAAAACTAACTTGTACATGAATAGAATTACAGAATATGTGCAGAGAACACTATTTTGGCAAGAAAATTCACTTACAAAGTATACAATCATAAAATATGTAAGTATCAAGTTATTCAAAAGCATTAAAATCAAATTTTGTAATTTAAATATTGACTTGCCTGTTTTGGTGAATATCTCAAAATGTTTTCACCAACGATGCGACTCATTCCGTGGTGACACCTCACAAATATAGGCCTAGGCTAGGTAGGCTCATCAAAAACATATTTATTATTAATAATGTGCTTCTGAACTAAATTTATCAATAACAATATTCCTATTTGGTACCGGCCATAACATGTTCAGAGATTTATAAATATCTTTTGTTCTCTTTCATTACTTCTCACTACAGAAGTTTCTGTACAAAAGGTTTCATTCATGTCTAATTAATGCCTTCCAAGTTCTATACCATAGGCCTACTAAGTACTTTGTTACAGTCATAGTATACTTGGATATGTACCACATCTTTATGGTTGTCACAGTAAAGCATTGTTGACCGTTGGTGTGCATGTTTTCTTTCATTCTGTTAACATGCTGTTAATACTGTAGGCTAGTGAAGCATTCTAACTAGTGATCTAGAGACAATAATTATTATTTTTTTTACTCAGAAAATGGAGTTGACATGGAAGCAGTTGAGCTACTGAATGAAAATGATATAGCAGTGCTGATACCAAAAATAGGGTTACGGGTCAAATTCATAGAGAAGTGGAAGAAAAAAGTAAACATCTTAAATATATTTATGTAATCTGTTTGAACTTCCAAAATTAATGATGCTGTGTTACAAGTGCCTGCAAACTATACCGGGTGGTGTCAAAGAGTTATTTAATCATCTGAAATACATTCATGGCATCCATTCTGGTACATCCACTTTCATAACATGCAGGCAAGATAATTGCAATTCAACATTTTCACATTTGTCATCTTATAGACGCCACATTCTTGCTCAGCACACGCATATTGAAGCTGATATTTCTGAACCTCATGTAGAGGACCATGAGGAAACTTATTCAGATGATAGTAGGCCTATGGATTCATGCCAATTTCAGCCTGCATGTAATACTGGTACTGTTCAGAAAGATACACAAACAGATATTTTCAAATCAGTTGCCTTTTTCATAGCAAACATGAGGGCATCTACTATGACACAATCATCTGTACAGAATGTTATTAATGAAGTCGAGGATTTATTGCAGGTTGTAATTGAAAAACTCAAGAAACAATTTGAATCAGTCATAACAGATATTCAGAAGACAGTTCATTTCTCTGAGGATGATCTCTCTAAATTTGATACAGTGTTTAATGAATTTGAAGCTGCAACAAAACTGTTTGATGGATTTCGATCACAACACCAACAAGACAAGTATTTCAAAGATAATGGCTATCTTATTAATTCAGAATCAAAGGTTTTGGGGCAATCAATAAGGTCACAGAGTTGTAGCTCTACAGGAGGGGTTCGCCACAAAGTCACCAACGAATCTTTCCAGTATGTTCCCATCTCTAAGACACTACAAAAATACTTGGAACAACCAGGAGTTATGACAGCAATCATCAATCAACATCCTTCCCAGGATGATTGTGTTTTGGAAACTTATCGAGATGGCATTTACTTTAAGAATAAATTTTCTAATGTTAATTCAATTGTCATCCCAGTTTTGTTGTATTGTGATGACTACGAAACAGGGAATCCACTGGGTGCCAAAAAGGGAGTAAACAAAATAACTGCTTTCTATATCAGCCTGCCTTGTCTACCACCTCAGTTCCAGGCAACCTTAACACAAATTCTAATGGCTGCATTAGTTAAGCGATCAAAGGTTACAAAATATGGAATTGATAGTATTCTGTCTGTGATAGTGAAAGACTTGAATGAGATGGACCGAGATGGTCTCTATATTTCTTGCGAATCATATGTAGGATATGTACGACCAGTTCTTCTTCAGGCAATTGGTGACAATCTTGGTCTACATGAAATACTTGGTTTTGCTGGAAGCTTCACTGCTAACTATCCATGTCGACTATGTAAGGCCTCAAGAGCAATGACTCAAAAACTACTTGTTGAAGATGAAACACTATTAAGAGACATAGAAAGCTTTAATGCTGATATGTTGTTGAATGATATATCGCTAACAGGAATCAAACGGTCTTCAGAATTGAATAAGATTACAGATTTTCATGTCACTAGTAACTATGCTGTAGACATCATGCACGACTTTTTAGAGGGTGTTATGCCTCTAGAAATGAAGCTTACTTTGAAAGTTCTCATAGACAAAGGATGTTTCAGTTTGCAACAACTGAATGATAGGATGTATTCCTTTAGTTATGGTTTTGTTGATAAGAAAAATAAGCCCTGTGCAATTAAACAATCAGCACTTCTCAACCCATCGGGCCCAAGTGGTCAGAAAGCAGCACAAATGAACTGCTTAATCATGTATCTTCCACTAATAATTGGAGATCTTGTTGATGAACAATCAGATGTTTGGGAAATGTTTTTGCTACTGATTGACATATACAAGATTGTTACAGCTCCATCCATTACACATTCTGGTACATTAGTTTTAAAGTCACTGATCAGGGATCATCATCAACTTTTCTTGCAACTTTTTCCTGAGCTTCATCTTATCCCAAAACACCATTTCCTAATTCACTACCCACATTTGATAAGACTTTTGGGGCCACTTAAACAGTACTCAAGCATGCGCAAAGAGGCGAAACATAAGCCATTAAAGCGATGGGCTGTTGTTTGCAACAACTTCAAATACATAGAAAAGACAGTTGCTGATAGGCATCAACTACAACAGTGTTACAATTTTCTGTTACGGAAGCCTTTAGACTTTGACATAGAAGTCAGTGATCAGGTAGTTGTTGAAATTTCAACTATGGATGATGCAGCTACTATTATATGTGAATTACTTGGAGGTGACATACATGATGAAGTCATGCTTTCAGGAGGTGTTAAAATTCAGTCGTACCAATTCAAACCAAATGTTATGGTTCTTGCTGACTGGGATGATGAAGGCCCTCACTTTGCAAAAATAATTCACATCTTGATTGTGGAAAACACTGTCTACTTCATATTAAACAGGTGGCAAACAACATATTATAATAGACACATGCAAGCATATGATGTGGTAGAATTAAAAGAACATGGAAACATCATCATCAAACAACCTCAGGAATTAATGCTTTGCCAGCCATTGCATATAACAAAGTGTCATAGTGTGACAGATCAGTCATGGTATATTGTGCCACCTTTTAATATGATATAAAAGGTAGTGTACTTGAATTAAACATTTAATATTTTACCCGTACAGTAGATTTGTGACAAGAAAAGAAGATGTATAGTGCCTAAATAATATAATTAAACAAAGATGCATAATTGACAATGAAGTTGTTTTAAAATGATTCTCATTCTGCCTTTTGCTACCCTAATTGGCATTGTTTCTTTAATATCCTTTAATTTGTGTATTAGTTGCCATTATATTTTTCTTGGCCATCCATTTCAATCTTGCCTGAAGTTGTCTATTCAATTGTGTCTACTACTTATAGTAGTAGATCACTTTGGAGATCTTTGCATGATATTTTATCAAGCACTTAACGAGCACTTATTTTCATTTACAGTTTAAACAAGTCATACCGGAAGTTATTCCATTATCTACAGAAGTGCTCCAACAACTGTTTTCTGAGGAAGAAAGTATTGAAGATAGTTATGCATCGCAATCCACTGCTCAATATTCAGACCTAGATGAGGCTGCTACTTTTAATCACATTCAGCCACCTACTGTGTCAGATAGTGAATCACCCTCACATTCACCCTTCTCACCGCCACCACTAAAGAGACAAAAGACGGTATTATTTGTAAGTTTGACAATTTTTAAAATTTTCATTTATGTTACAGGACGTTTGGCCTACAGTATTTTTTTACCCCTGGTGTTTTCCTTCTATTTCCCCAAATTAGCTGTATCGTTTATTGTTCCTTCATGTTTTTGAATTTTATTTTTCATTATATCAGTAAGTTTGCACGTTTTTTATTGCTATTTACAGGATGTCAAGGATATACTTTCTAAAACTCCAGAAGGTAGAAATGTCGCGAAAACCATAGAAGAAACTGGCTTTCTAACAAAGAAACCCAGACTACAATTGGTAAAGATATTGGTTGGAGCCTTAGTATCACAGCATGGCAAAAAGTATGTGTATCTGTATATAAAATTTAGTATCTGCCCTTTGGAAAAACACACTACAAAAGAGCAAGAGCACTTGAAACCATTAAAAAAAATGTGTTCAACAATTGGTAATCTGGCATTTATAAGGATTTAATTAATAGTTAGGTGACAGTTGTGCAATTAACAATGTCACCATAAATTGTACATGAAAGATGTTCCTTTGGAGTACAGCTCTTTAGTGCTCTTTCTACCAGGTCTATTCTTTCAAAGAATTGGATGTAATATTTATAAACTAATATTGAAGTACAGTAGGAATGCCTATGATTTGTTGTCAATATGAAAGCTTATCGAAACATTAGTACGAAAATGTAAAGCAGTATTTAAAACTATACATTTTTATTATTATCTTTTGTAGTGCTGGTGCATTTGAGAAAAATGCTCTTGCCCAAAGCTTAATAACATGCTTTCCTTGCCTGAAAGATCCACAAGGAATCACAGGATATGTAAGTTCAGTGAATACTACCATTTAATTTTATTTAAGAAAAGAATGTACAGTATAAATACATACTCAAATATTGAAATACACACCATTGTGTTGGGATTAAATATTTCGACATTAATCATGTCACCATATTGAATACCAACACAAGATGTGTATTTCAATACTTGGAGTATGCATTATACTTTCTAATTTCATTTGTTTTCACAATACATAATTAGTGTGCATCAAAAACTACTATGTCCTATTCAGTAATCAGAGGCGGATTTAGTGGGTGAGGAGGGTGGGGGAGGGGGCGGAGATTTAAAAAAAGTTTCTTGAAATCTTTCACCAGATTAAATAATTTTTTTTGTGCTCATAGGCCTGCTTATATTGCTAGATGATGTCAACATTACAGGAAGCTTTTCCCAGGGGGTGCTAACCTGGGCCACACATCCTTTCCAACAGTCATGGTTAGGTATCTGCTACTGAAGTATATAGAAATTGAAGACACCTATGCCTATAGTTTTGTGTAGGAATGGTTTATAAAGCTTGTTGCAGGTGTGTTTAGGGTGGGTGAAAACAAATTAAAACCTTAACAGTCACATATTTTATTATTTAGGAAGCATTTTACTGTAAGGGTGCACATGGACGTCCAGCAACAGGGTACCTGGAGGAACACCTGAGGTATATCCGGAAGCGTATGCTGAAAAGCTCTACAGAAGAAGATAAAGTGGCATGTAAGTGAATTACATTTATCTATAACAATAACTGACTAGTAGTCAGTTATTGTTATAATTGAATTGGAATAATTTCAGCTGGATCCAGATCATCAACAAGAATATTTCCAACAGTTATTGTTATTATTAATATTATTATTATTAACACTATTTGTATAATGGTTATTTGTTTTATTATCATAACCATATTCAGCACTATCATTAATCATTATTTGGCCTATTTTGTTATTACTGGAAAACAACAATGCTGTATGGGTTGTGTTAATACAAAACAGTTCATTAGAAAATCTTAAATTTTAACAGTAAATGCACAGGCAGATATTTGGACAAACACAGTTTATGCTTGGGAGGTCCTACTACTGAAGGTGAATAAAGTTGTTTAGAGAGTTTATAGTAGCAAGAAATGCTGTGGAATGATCAAAGAAGAGGGAGAACAATGATATTGGCTGTTATTAGTGTTTTTAAAATTGTAGTATTTGAAGTAAATCATGAAGCAGTGTTTTATTTTCCTGCAGCAAATGATCCTAAGCAGTCACTGTCAGTTGAAAGTGTTGAAGTTACAGATGATATTATTATGAAGGTACAATGGTTGAAAGATAACTTAGAACCAAAAAATCAGGTACAGCAGTTCATGGCGACCACTTTCAACTACCGAATAGAATGGATAAAAGATAAACAGCGATCCGTTTCAGATATACTGAAAGAATTCCCAAGACTTCTGGATAACGATATGGTAAGCAAGATTTTGCTCTTTAAATAACCCTCAGTGCTATCGGAGTGTATTTATTACATTAACTAGATTTTTAATTTAGATTCTAAATTGATTTATAGAAAAAAATGTATGCCTTGGATCCAGTTTTATTTCTAAAAGATTTTAGTATGATCAGTATCAAAGATACTATAACAAAATTCATGGCATGTTTTAACACACTAGCTACTGTACCTACAATTGGTATTATGAAGCCTCTCCAATGCAAAGGGCGATGAGGAGTCATTGTCCGATTCAATATTTCTTTTAACATTGAATAATAGGCTATATTAAATTTTAAGTGGTAAATTTGGAAGAAGTTTGTGTTACCACAATAAAGTATGATAGGCCTAATAATATGAAATTACATCATTTTGATTCTCCTACATTTTCACATCCATAGATTGACCAGGACTTTAGATCTTCATATCCTGAAGCTGCTGATCGAATGTATGAGAAATGGAATGCCATGGTTGATCCGATTTGTGAGTACGGAATCAGGATGTGCCCACTTTGGAAGGAAATACTTGGCTTGTCAGATAGCACAGACTTAGTGTCTTTGACAACAGGTAAATAAAATCTGACATTTTATTGAAAGGACATTCTACACATGATACATGATTACATTGCTTTGTTTTGAGACTTGTTATTATGCAGAAAATTATTTTATTTATTTATATTTTTCAACTCATTTCATTACAACAGGTTAGAAATTATCCTTAATTTAAACTAAGTAGTATAGAATTAGCCTGTGAGGGGTTGTTGTACACTGTTGTGAGGAAACATATTCCTGGTATCAGGAATTGTGTAGAGGCAAGCATCCTAACAACTAACACCATTTTCTTTTTGTCTGTGAAGCATATGAATACCAATTCATGGGATAAATTTAATAATAGTAACTATAACACAAAATGCATAGCTATCATAGAGTACCACAGTCGTTTCGTCACAATGCCAGGTGGCGCCATCTGTTGTCAACCAGACGTTGGTTACTGTTCATTACGCCTGAATGATTTCATAGGCTTTCTGGAATAAGCATTTTAAAATCTAATATTTTCCATCAAATTGTACTAAAAACACAAAAGCTCGCATTAAATTAGTTATTGAACACACACTTAATCATCAATTAAAATTTACAAAGAAAAATTAAGATATAACATCTTAATAATTATGTTAGAAATTGGGATCAATGATTTGTCAGTGGAGACAATTAGCTTGGTTAAACGCAGTTTGGTATCGTGACGTAACACTGTAGTACTCTATTGCTAACATGTCTCTCACAAGAAGATACATCATTTGTATTTTTTAAATAATTTTCTAAAGAATATTCCTGTATGCATGGAAAGAAGATCTTCCCCTAAAAATGTACGATTTCCACATTTATAATTAATAATGTAATATTTTATTTGATACCTGTATTGTATTTAACTTCAAATTGTATTTATTTTTAATTTTTTTTCTCCCTACTTTAGTTTCTGTAAGTTAATAATTAATGTATTTTTGTAGGCCCCGAACCTTTTCATGGTTTGAATTGCGCATGACCATGTTTGCTATGATGGCGTATTACTTTCTATACCTTGGGGGTGAGGAAACTGTGCTTAACTTAGACATGGTCATGCATGCTTCAAGTCGTGAATAGGTTAGGTTACTGGAGTAATTAATTACTTGTACTCAAATTATGTTTTTTTATATTGTGTTTATTAAAGTATTTGTTTTCACTTCCTTTACTGTTCATTTCAATGTACTGTATTTATTTTATGCTTCTTTTGGACGCACTTTATATAAATATGAAGTGTATGAACATACGAAAGTAAACTTCATAATAAATTACTTACCGACCCATAAAATTGTGTTTTTCACAGATGAGAAGTCTGTTCTGGCACTCTATCTGATCCCCTTAATTTTTGAAAATTCAGTCAAGAAATCTGCAGCCGGGTCAAAGATAGCAAGCACATTGTCATCTTTCATTGATTCACAACGAGTAAGTATTGTGCTTCCTGGTGTGGTTATTGATGTATGATTGGTTATTTAATAATATTTACTGTACCTGTTAATTTGACACCATGGAATTGGTTATGGTAGATCCTTAATAAAGATCTTATCATATGATTGTTGCTTTATTCCAATTAAATTTCAGATAGTGTCTGGAAATGACAACCTTTCCAATCCTTATAACAGTAAAGATAGCCCGGTATAAATGGCCCCATTAAAACGGGCCCTGAATGACAAGTAGCTAAAATGGCACTGTTATTTAAAAATTGCCCTGAATAACCAGTAGGTAAAAATGGCCCTGGTGTAAGCAAATTGGATGAGCAGGTGAAAAATATGCTATGGTTGAAAGTTACTTCAATGAATTTCAAGAATGAATTAAATTAACAAACAATTCCATCATTAATCCTGAATAATTTCTATTTTTCAACAAGAAAAAATGTTAATTTACTATCAAATGGTGATTTTTTTTCCCTAAAAATTGCTAATTAAGAACTGTGTAAATCATGTAACCCTATCCAACCCACTCTGTATTAGACTTAGACTTAAATTATTTTTTTAAGACTGAATAAAAAAATAATTTCTATAGTAAGTAATTAATATTCTTTAATTGTGTCCCCTCTAATTATGTTATGAGGTATTCAAAGCATGTTATTAGGCCTATATATAGGTCCCTGTGTACTCTGCAGTATATTTATTTAAATGTTTAAACTTAATTTTGTATCATTATATAAAGGATTTAATTTGTTGATACTTAATATGTCAGGCCATGGTGATGCAATATTTAATTATATTCAGTCAGTCATTGATTAGTTTCAACAATTTTAGCAATTTTGTATTAATAAAATAATTTTCTTTCCGACTGGGTCCATGCTGTGTACCTACACCAGGGCCATTTGAACCTACTTTTCATTTGGGGCCATTTTTACTGGTGCCTTTTTACTGGGGCCATTTTACCTACATTTACTGATATACAGACAACACCTACTTATGTATGTCAATTTTCAAGCACTTGCATTCACATTTCAATTCCATTCTGAAAAGTGACTGAATAAAACTCTCCTTTTGCATGTAGATTTAATAAGATTGATGATGGTGAAAATTATAAATAGAAGATTTTAATATTTTTGTTGGCAGCATTTAAGCAAATCAAAATCATATTCAGGGCCAATTAAGTAACAAAAAATCCTTGTTTCCCATCCTGAGTTTTTCAAAAAGTTGGTGAGGGAGGCACTTATTGTTGATTTGTTATTTTTCACAGTTTGTCAAATATGCCAAAGCATGTTCTCTAAGTAGCAAAATGTGTTGTAAACAATGTGTCACTAGTTTTGTCATTGCTTGTCTTGCTGTTATCATAGTTTTTGTGTTTAAAAATGCATTTCTAAACTTTAAAATGTGTCAGCAATTGAAATTTTGCATTTTGGATGTAAAAAACCCCAAAATTTTAAGAATAACAAAAAACAGAAAAAATGATGTGGGCTAAAAAAAAAATGAGGGAGGAGATGGGGAACAAGGAATTTTTGTTATTTGGCCCAAGAATTGTTGTACTTGGCAAAATGTAAATTTGTGTTTTCCTGTTTTTATTTCCAGCAAATAATTAATGTTCAAGCGTACGTGATCAATCCAGAAACCCACCGACAACCATTCATATTGGCACTTGGAGACAAATTACTTCCATCAGACCAGTTCGTAATAATCGAAAATAAGGTCATTCAGCAGCCATCTCTTTTTAAAGCGGTGGATGTGTGTTATAAGTTGCACTATGTTTTGGATTGTAAATACCAGGAAAAATGCAGATGGGTATGGAAGTTCTTCGAAAGTTGTGTCTACAGCCAATCAAAGGAAAAAAGAGAGAGTGCATCCTTGAGAGCCATGAGGGCATATTTGAAGTTTAAAAATGTTCTGTAGGTAAATGTTCCATGTAAAATAACCTCAGAAAAACGTTTAAAAAAACGGTAAAAATATTTCAATAAAAAGTTGGAGAAATAATTCTAAGTGTCGTCTAATATTATTAATGTCGAAATGCCTAATAACATCCATCCACATGTACATACATTTTCACCAATAAATTGGCAAAGGCAACCATTAAAAGGCAACTGATTAACCAATAGATGGTAATTAACAGCACCCAGATGTTGAGCAACTGATGCTACCCAAACCTTGGAAAAGGACAATTAACCAATAGATGGCAATAGTACCCAGGTGTTGGGCAAATTAAATGACCAGATGTTAGTAAAGGACAGTTGCCCAACTGTTTTGTAAACATGTTTACCAAAATGGGGTTGGGCATAAATTGCCCAATAGTTGTTGAAGCTGACTATTGTACCAGCGTTGGGTAAAATGTTGGGCAATTTTTTGCCCAACGTTTTTACAGTGCAGTTATATATGGAGTTATGGATCCAAGATATCGCAATGCTTTTCGAAATGTTATAGCCAATTGGTCCAAAACCAGAAGAGACAGCGTTATCCGTTCACACTAAGAATTTTAAAAAAAATTATCCCCCAGCACAATTAAACTTATGCTAATACAGTACAGTACATTTATAAGAAAGGGCGCCCCGCTTGCACCAGCACTGGTCAAGACCAGACATATGGTTCGGTGTAAGCGACCCATTAGCTGTACGTTTTATATCATACCGGAAAGATGTATTACTTCATTCTGACGAAAAGAATAAATACTAAATACCAAACCTACATCATAAAGCAAATCAACTATTTTTATTTAAAAGAATTATTTATGCTATATTCAGCAATAAGATAAGGTAATAATAAAATTGTTACATTTAATGCGCCATTCAAATTATTAACAAATAGGCGTACCGTACCACGCAAAAC